CTTCTATATCGCAATCGCAAGGCCAAATTTTGTGTTGCTGATCTTTTAGGGAAAGAACAAGGAAGAGAAGATTTGCGCTGTCTATGTAATCCATTGGACATTACCAGCACACCTCGTACATAAAGGGGCATAAGTCCGGACCTTCACTTTATATACCGGGCTGCTTCGTTCACCTGCCGAAGCATATTCCGGTTAGGTAGCAGCAGTAAAAATCAGCGGGCGGCTTTAAATGCTCCGGTGTTTTTTGGAGTGCCATATGATATGGCAGCAAATCTGTTAGAAATTGCCGAGCAAATAGCGCCAAACCGGGCGGAGTGAAATCCGAGTTAATCACCTCGGGACTATGGTTCTAACGCATAGGCAACACACAGAGCCCGGGAGTGAGAGAACTAACATCACAAGAAAACTAATGTCGAATAACTGAACGATAATGCGTCCCTGGTCGCGCTTTAGTAGATTGGTTTAATAGTCGAAATTTGAAGCTTTTCTCGAAAAAGTTGCACTACGGCGGAACTGTCTTGAATCAATAAGTTCTCACCCGTCTCACCGGTTTGAGAATGGATATCCTTTTATATATCCTGTTTTGTAGCAATCCTTCCTTAATGTAGTATGTATATGTGTATATCCGAAATTCCATCGGCAAACAAACAAAATTCAGCGCCAAAATTTTGCTACTGAGTTCCTCAGCCAAGTACCATCCCAAGATCGCGGTACAAACTCTCGCGCACCTCTGAGCCCCGCATGCAAAAATTTCACTTGGAAGACTGCTAACTCGAGAACCAAAAAAGCCAAGCAGGAAGAGGGCTGAGATTTTAAGAGGATATTCCTTGCCATAAGTAATTTATAGATTTCAAATTCAGCCCCCAGGTATGTGTTGATTCTCACATACGCTCACTCAAAAGTTTTGGCGGAAAATTTACTGAACAGCTAGTTACAAAGAACGACCCATCGACGGAAAGGGATTCACTTTCCTTTATGAGGAATTTATGTCAATTCACAGCAGTGAGAGCACAAAACTGAAGCATCCATATAGCTGACGACCTGACCGCTTCAAGTTTAACGCAAAAGCGCACGACCGGCAACCTGACGAGTACTAGCCCACGATTTCACTATTATTATGAGTACGATTTTTTATTACGGGAAATCATATATTTGTCACCTTGGATCGTAGTTTTATTTAGCTTGGTTTTTATCTTAAAAGAATAGCCAGAATTTGTGAAGTGGTTTTTAATTGAATTATGCAGTAAATGGCCCTTATTATTTTCCTTTGTCTTCAGCAAATGCTTTATATCCAAAAGTAATGGTCTACTAGCTACGTTTTAACCACTTCTGCATTTTCAGTCTTTTTTTCTTGCTGTTATTACTGAAAGAATCCAGCGGCCACTTTATCTTTCATCTGTGCAAAACTCCCATAAAACCTGATATACTGAGATGTTATGATCCACACGGTAGCTATTTGTTATTATAAGTTTAAATGGAAAGATAAATGTAAATTAAACAGGCTGCTTTTGTATGTTATATTTATTGAGATGTTATACGTTTTAGTTTATTAAGTGTTATAAATTTATAACGCAAAAAGGATAAACTCAAAAAGAAGGATATAAATATCACAAGGAATATCGTGACCGTCCGGACAATCACTATGGGTATCCCGTGTTAGCGGTGTTGCTACTATGTTAACACGCACGGAGCGCAGCAGTGCTAGGCCCTTCGATTTTGCCATATTTATAACTTCCTTAATAGAGGTATAGATATAAATGACTATTTGAAAATAGTTTTAATTTGAGATCCAATAATCGAACCTTTATATAGCAAATTCTATACATCTTAACTTGGTCACGGAATAAGAATCGGTTTTCTCATTTCTCGGAACACTGCATCAAATCTTGTTTAGCCTCTACAGATCGAAGGCCACCATTAATAGAACCAAATTTTCGTGGATAGCGAGATTTGTTTCAGTCGCGGACTGGAAGTGGTGTTCTGAACATGCAACAGACTCAGTTACTCTTCTGTTTACATCCAATACTTTTTCAGGAAAAAGAAACCAATAAAGCTTTGGAGAGTTGCCTTTCGCTTACCTCGCCAAATAACTGATAGGATGTTTTCCAATTTAGTTAGATAAAATATGATTTTCTTGTAGTAATATGAAAAAATTTTGTTTTAAGTATAAATGGCTAGTAAAAATGTCCATGAGTAGTGAAAAGCAACGCAACGCAACAAGATCTAAAATGTCTTTGGCGGGCGCTTTGTGTTAGAGGTACCATCAAAGCCCCTTCGAGAAAATATTTCTTGTTACGATCCTATCAGGCATGGGCACAGAAAAGTAGAGCTACTTATACTGAAAGCTGAAGGATAAAATCGCAATGTATATGAACTATAAAAAATTTTCACTGACTTAACAAATAATATTTGTGTATGTAAGTTTTTGTGCAGTAGAATAACCAATCTTTCTGCGATTCGTTTATTCATTTCGATGATAAATTGGTACTGGCGAATGCCGGAAAAACAAACCTGTTATCAGTTTGCTTCCAAACAGTGCTCAGAAAAGCGGGCCATTGGCAGCCAGCTTTAATGAGTCGTTGATTCTGTAGTACGTGCTACCAGTCAGGCCGTTTCTGAGTGCCTCCACCTCTGATAGAAACGGGAGGAAGGGGAGGGATGGGGGAGGGAATGAGTGAACAAAGGTAGGATTTTGAATTTAGTTTCGGCATAAATAGGATAGTTCCGTCATATATGCGAAACAAAAGCAAAGATCTTTAAAATCAACCCTTACCCTCACCTTGTGCCCTCGACCCTCAATGTCTTCCTTCAGAATGAGGCAAAAACTAGTCAGAAGTGATACAAAACTGCTGTTTTCCACAAATTTTGCTATTGCACTTTCTGAAATGCGCGATAGATGTGTTCAATCTTGCCACATGAAAGAACATTAAAAAATGGAGCATCCTGAAAACGGAAACAAAAAAAAAATTGCCCTCTCGGGAGTAGCTGGCTTTTCAACAGCTGCCATTCGAATGCGATTAACAGTTTCACTGCTTTTATCGGGCTCCCCAAAATATAAGAGGCTACTTTTGACTTAATGCACAATTTTAGTGCAATAAAAGTCTGCTTTTTAGAATTTTTTTAGTTAAATTTTGCTGAAAAAAAAACCTTGACTTTCCTGGCAAGTTTTATTCAGCCAGAGATACTGTGTTTGTGCTTATTATTTTTACGACGCTGAATATAAAGCAAAAACTTTGATTTTAATAATTGTTAGAACGAATTTATAGATTGCTGCAGGCAGCCAAAACAGTTAAAGCTTCCCCATTCGGGGATCTGAATTCAAAAAAAAAAAAAAACTGAAAAACTCACAAGACTCGAGTTTTTAAAAAACCTAAAGGTAATGTCACTATATTTATTTATTTTTAACTGTTTCGATTTGTTTTATTTTTTGTTAAAACAAAAATTGTTCGGACTTTTGTATTTTGATGTTATGAAGACCAAACGACATGCTGGACTCAGATAAAACAGAGCTGGATACGAATTGATTGTTTGCAACTTGCTACATGTCATAAACAAAGTTTTTTTTTTCGTTTTTTCGTTTTTTTTTTTTTGTAGCTACTGTGAACTTATGAATTCCGCTTTAGAAGTTTCGAGCATTCTCGTAGCTGTTGCCTGCTGACAGGCAGTGGTTACTAGCTGTTAGCAAAGTGAGAACGTGCGCTGCCCATGGATTTCATCTTCGCTCGTGTCAGTTTCTGCACTCACCAATCATTTGACAAGGATTTGATTTTTATAGGTCACGAAAAGACGCTTAGTTATTCTTTCGTTCCGTTACAGTTAACGTTCCCAGTGAATTACTAGGAAAGATATATACAAGCAGAAACTGTCTTACTTTAAAAATCTGATTTGTATAAAAAATGCTCAGAAATGTGTTCTCAAGTTTCACTATTTTCCTAATTTATTTAATTTTTTTGTGACAAGGATGAGAAACAACAAATGGGCGAAGCAGATTATTGAATGGCACCGGCGCTTTGCCAAAAGAACATAGGGAAGGCTACCATGCTCTAGAAGGATCCGTTTGAGCAGATATGAGAAATTATATGGGTGAGAGCGGCCCAGATCAGAGGAAAATGAAGAAGCTGCCAGTAGTGTTAGTAGCGAAAACAAACGCTACGATGAAACAATAACTGATCAAAATGTTAAAGTAACTCTTTAATTTTCAGTTTCCTCAATTCTCCGGAAGCTTCGATTCCGGCTACTGCTGCTACTCATGCTTATTGCTCAGAAAAAAATTCGTAAATTAACGGATGATTAAAATGGATTTATATGTATGTCCTGCATTGCGGTAACTGAATCTGTAATTGGACAAATTTTTTGGGATTTACGAGAAATCCTAAAAAAAAGCAAAGTAACGATGGTCGAAATCATTCTTCTGAATGAATGAGTATTTCGCTGACTGAATCATCGCTAATGATGCACTTCCCTGCTCAAATAGCGATTTCCTTCCTACTGTCAACTAGGATAATGAATCTGCATGGTGCCTTGGATGATCATCCGGACTCGTACTGGCTGACTGTGGATCTGCTGAGCGTGGATTGGCGTAAAGGTTGCCTAACTACAGCTGGCTGTGCAGAACCACGGTTTCAGATCACCGAATTGAACACAGTTAACAATGAAGCAAATTCGATCAGCTGGCCAGTAACACTCAAAATGGCTGAGGTAAAAACTTTATCTTCGAGCATAACTAGAGGCATTGGAGCTGGGAACCGTTGGGCCTGGAATAACTACTCAAAGTGTGGCTAAATACCGGTAATATCACTAATATCAGATCTTTACACTGATTTTTCGGGAGTTATAGTAATCCTAAGATAATGTTGATAATCTTAAGATGGGTAATGTTGCTTTTTGCAATAATTAATGGAATGTAAGAGAATCGGACCACTCGTCTTCATATTCGAATATGAAGTACTAGACCGCTGCTTAGCAAATTCTTGTGCCTCAGGCATAGTATGGTGTTATTTTTACTGGGTATTTGCCTTTAAGTTGCCATATGCCCTTTCTTTTTATCTGCCTTTGTACAGGCAGAACACATCCTTTCTGGCAGCTTCGCCTTTATCGGCTTTTCGCAGATTTCCTGAAACTAGATCACCCAAGTTATAAGCCTCGGTATCTTATATTTGTGATGTCACTGGGATGCTCTTACATGCCTCATGAAACTATACAAATCACTCGACCGCGGGCCGAGTATCTCCAGCTGGTAACCATTTACGTGTCCGAAGTGTCTGTGCTAAATGAGAATTTCCTTTATTAATAAGAAAATTGTCAGGATTCTGAGATACGTTTCAGAGGCACATTTTTTGAAAAGCTGCAAAAAATTGCTGGGAAAGGCAATATTTTACTTGACAACATCGTTGTTTTTCCCACTGAATCCACATTTATGTTTATGTTCTCGGCAGATCGGATGCTTCTAAATCACATCAAATCTCAAGTGCATG